AGCTTTTCTTAAGTGGGTTAGCTACAGTTAGGCCATTCAGATTTTTTAATTTCATTTTCTTTGCTTGAGCACAGTGACCAACCACTGAACTGCCTTCTTTCATTATTCTGCCATGATTGTAAGGGTTACATTTTTGTGTATGTGGCTTTCATAGTTGGATTTCAGAGCACTGATACCAGATGTTTTCAGTTTGTTTTCTGGGGGAATTTTATTTGCATCTATGTTTTTAGCTATCTGTGATAACTTGTTAAATATTAAAAAAGATATTTTGCTTCTATTGGAACATTTGTATACTCGCAACTATATTTCTGTAAACAGCTGCAGTCGAAAATAAAACATTGAAAGTTTTCATTTTGCTGTGAGTAGCTGTCTTTTCAAACTTTGTGCATGAAATTGCATTTTTTAATACCTGTTTTGAGTAACAAGAAGATGTAGCTGAAATTATAAAATCATTAGGAAGGAGGTATGAAATATGGAAATATTTTTAGTAGTTACTTTGTACTGTTTCTTCAGGCATAGTACAAATGACATAGCAGGACAGAAGTTTTGTTTATTTTACTTACATGTTTCATTTTTAGTGAAGTACAACATACACATATATGCATGCAGCATGCGGATGCTTTGGTTGAAAACCAGGTCTTCCCATCCCTCAGTTCCATACCCAGAAACAATCTTTCTATTCTTCTGGTAGTTACTTGTACATGTATAAATTAGTGGTTACCAAAGTGTATCACATAATTGATTTGAATTGAATCAAAATGATTTCAGGTGATAACACAGATGAACATTATTTGAAGCACATACTTCTTTGTTGTTGTTGGGCATTAAAAAAAAATAGGTGTCCACCTACCAGAGTATGGAAAAGAAGTGAGCCAAATTAAAACTATTAAATTAATAGTAATACAGATGATACATGGTTATCATGAATATGCTGTATAATTAACTGAAGTTTAAGAACACTTTTAGTATGTTTATCCCTTATTTTATGAAATTTAAACAGTTACCTGTTGACTGTATAAAGAGTGATTGAATTTTTAACATATGCAAATGTATATATCTAAATGAGTTTTCCCGTGGGGGGGGTCATATATTTATTTCAACAGTGCTGCCATTCTCTTTTGGTGTTTATTGACTTGTGTCAGTGTTCAAAAAGAGGAGTAATCAAATGAATTTACAAGTATAAACATCAAATTGTCATTTGGCTCAAAAAACAGCATCTGTGGGCAAAAGACTGATGTGAAGATGGACTACAATGGGATGTGGCTGCCAGAAAAGGTGATGCAGTTTTGGGTTACATCATTTAAGTACAATGTCTGTATCCAGAATACGAGAGGTAATAATCCTGCTTTATTTCAGGCTGGTAAGAGCATTGCCCCATCATCCTTTAAGGAACAGATTAAGTAGCCATGTAATCAGAACTAGAAGAGAACTGGAACATCATTTATCCCTGCTCAAGATACGACAAAAACTCAACAAGTAAAAAAAGCAGCCATAGTTTTTCAACAGCAAAACTAATGGTCTTGCTCTCAAAGAGAGGTATTGGTTGCTACCCTAGTACTCTATTTCATGGTGCTGTCATCTCTTAATTCCACAAAGGCAATATATAGAGCAGTAAAAAACATGGACTTTTGAGTTTTGGTATACTTAGCTTGAGTTCTGGCTCCAGCATGTACTATTTAGCCTTCCTTTCCTTATCTATATTCAGGTAGTCCTCAGGTTAAAAACATCCCAACCTCCACCTCAAGCCTATTATATTAAAAATTTGAGATACAGTGATTTGTTGTAACAAACAGGTGCTACTTTGTGATGCACAGCAAAACATTATTACCGTATTACTAGGTTAAATATATTTTAGTGTATCTGGAAGTGTTTAATGTTTTTTTATGCATGGAAACATACACTATATGCTGATATACTAAGAAACATTTGAGGTTAAATAAGAACTGTGCCTAACTATTCTGACTTAGGTACAAATTTGACTTAAAGACAGATTTAGAAATGGAACTCGTTTCTAATCTGGATGCTGCCTATAATGGAAACAAGAACTCTCTTCATAGGGTTATTTTAAGAGTTAAATATATTAATCCATGTAAAATTCCTGAGGCAACAGTAAGTGCCTAATAAATGTTAACTTTGTATTACTGTTACTACTCCTGATACTACTATGCTCTGCTGCTGTCTCTTGTACACTGGGTCTGATATCCTTTTGCTTCTCAAGGATATCTTTTTGTTGTCTTAATTCTCCAGCATCAAAACTTTTCTTCTGAGACTCATTTCCATTGGCATATAAACTTGCTGTCATGTCTTGCATTTCTTGAAAAAAAAAATTCTTAGACTACACATCCCTTTTGAACCCATTCTAGTCAGGCTTTCATCATTATCACTCTACCATAATACCTCTGCTACATTGCCAAGTCCAATGGTCACTTCTCAGTCCTCATCTCACTTGCCTTATCAGTATTTGACACACTTAATACTTCCTCTTTGAAACACATTCTTCACTTGGCTCCAGGACACCACACACTCTTCACTGACCATTCCTTTTCACTCTCATTTTCTTCACCTCCTAACATTGGAGAGCCCTATATAGCTCAATCATCAGCTCTGTTCTCTGTTGCTTAGGTTAAAATTCCTTTTCTGTCTGTACTTCAAATTCCCCGAGAGGGTCAGAATCCATTATTCTGTTCCCATTCAGTGTAAAACAGCCCTATTAGGTGAGCTCTCAAGCAAGTCCCCATAATTTATTATTCAATTCTCTGATCCCCACTTCCTCATAGAATCCATTTTTACCTGAATGCATATTACTAGATTCACTAAAACCAAAGAATGTGGGTCTGTTCCATAGAAATTAATTTTATTGATTTGGAAATTTTGAAGTTTACACAAAATTGCAGTGGCTATGACCCACTGCTGTTGAGTTGACCTAAAGCAACCCTGTAGGACAGAGTAGATCTGCTCTAATGGGTTTCCAGAAGCAGACTGCCTCATCTTTCTTCCACAGAGTGGCCAGTGGGTTCCAACCACGGACTTTTTAGTTAGCAGTCAATTGCTTAACCACTACACCACTTGGGCTCCTAGTGTCAAGGCAACAGATAATGTTTTCAAGCTGAAGCACCCATCTTTCTGTCACTGTGGATACTATAGATGGGGAAAATATCCAGTACTAGTCAGCACCTGGTAAAGGAAGTTCTCCACCCTGAAGTCATTTCCTTGGCAGGTAAGTTTGCATCCTTGTTTTCTTTCAATGTACCACAAGAGGGCGGTATCTTACCATAGTATTCTTGAATTTTACCAACAGTGGGGAAGAGAGCCATTTCAGCAGTTTAAATGGGAAATTAGAATATTATGCCAAAATTAGTTCACCAGAGTTAATGAAAGTGTAGGGTTGCAATTTTATCCCAAAACAGAGCAAAATACATCATTAAAAGGACAGTTATTCCCTGGGCCAATGGCCCTTAGGTACCCTTCAACCCTGGTACTGAACTCATGCCCGTGGGTCAAGTTTCAGCCAAATGATAAGCCTATAGGTGAACAATAATACCAGGGAAGTACACACTTCTTGGAATAAAAAACCTTATGAGATCAAAAGGGCAGCATCTGCCCAGGGATAAAGCACAGAAAGCAGGAAGGGATAGTAAAGAAGGATCAATGGAAACGATAAAACAGGAAGTGGGAAGAGTGCTGTTACACTGTGGGGCCTGCAATGAACGTCACAAAACAAAATGTGTATGAACTGTTGAATGGAAAACCAATTTGCTCTGTAAACTTCCACCCAAATAAAAGACAGTTGTCCGCGTATCAGTGGTACAGAGGATAACTTTCCAGAATTTTATATAGATCACAGGTACTTTTCGTAGAAGGATGAGCATAAGTCTACAGTTATTTGTAAAATGACTTACAGTGGTGGGAAGGGGAAGAGAAGAGCCTTGGTGGAACAGTGATTAAGCACTTGGCTGCTAACCAATTTGAACCTACTAGCCATTCCACAGGAGAAAGATGTGGTCTGCTTCTGTCAAGATTTACAGCCTTAGAAACCCAATGGAGCAGTTCTACTCTGTCCCCTAGGGTCACTGTGAGTCAGAGTCAACTTGAAGGTAACAGGTTTGGGTTTTTTCTCTTATTGGGAAGAAGGGTGCTAGTAAAGGAAATGAACTCTGTGGCCCCTCACAACTCCAAAATGATGTAATTTAAAACTGAGTGAAGTTATTATAAAGTAATCATGAAATTTTTAATGATTAAGAATTTTATCATTTTCTTTACATCTTCCTTTCCACAGCTACATATCTATGCACTTTTTTTTTTTTTTAAGTATTGTAGGTACTCTTCATTCAGAGTAGCAGATGTAATGTATATGCTGGTGATTTCTGAAAACATTAAACTGGAAGATTGAGGGAAAGAGGAAACTTACTAGCTTTACATGTCAAGGTATCTGTGTGTACTATATACAAACAATAAAAGTTGAAGGAATTACATTCATGCTAGGCATATAAATCACTATGTAATCATTAAAACCAATTAAAAAAAAAACTTGCTGTCCCTCCTTGGGTTTCTGAGGTGGTATCTGTACAGAAGTAAACTGCCCAATCTTCCTTCTAAGGAGTGGCTGGTGGGTTTGAACCACCAGCCTTCTGGTTAGTAGTCAAAGGCCTTAGGCACTACACCACCAGAGCTCCTATGTATATATATGTGTATGTGTGTGTGTGTGTGTATATCTCCAATATATATCATAAATCAACATTAGGTTTCTAATTCTTGTTTAAACAAGTTAAGTCCCTTAGGTCAGATAGATTCAGTCATTTCTTTCTCTGATCAATTTCCGTCTACCATAAGCCATGAAGAGGTAACTAAAAGGAAAATATATAATTTAAGAGATAGATGCTGTTTAGCCAACAGCTTCCAGAAAAATTTAGCTATAAAAAGAGGGAGTAAACTGTGTAGATAGCCTTAAAGAATATTCTCTAGCATCTTTCTGTACTTTTCCCTGCCCTGTGTCCTAAGTGGCCTAATAAGATTGTGGTCATATGCCATGGTAACAAAAGAATCAGTTAAATTTAAGGAAAAAAAAAAAAAGAGTATCAGTACAGTCTATTCTCTCATTCCTCACAGAAAACAAAAAATCCAGATCTTAAAAGCCAAAGCAAGTCAAAGAAGCCTGAAAAAGACACCTAGATTCAGCCACATTATAGAAGGAAATCGAGTTGGGAATCTCATTTTCTGGCTTTTATCTGGTTGTCGGTTGGGATGGACTTGCCCAAGTGATGGCCCACAGAAAGGCCAAATTTCTTGTTTTTCTGCTCATCCTGTACCTCTTTTTTCATTAAGAATCCTGCCTGGAAGTTTAGGTCAAAGAGGCTGCTTGGAGCAAAATACAGAGGAGTCTCATCCCAAATATTCTCCAGGCGTTTCTTCCATCCTTCCAGGATCTGGATCCGCGCATCTGCTGGTGTGTGCCCAATGCTGTATGTCAGCTGAGGTTCCAAGACTTGGAAGCCACAGAAATGCAAAGTGCCACTCTGAGGATACATGAAGCATGAGGTGAGTTGGAGAATAAATCCCTTATCATTCACACAGTATATGAACAATAAATGTTGGTCTGCACTTCTCAATAAGATACTTCAATAAAGAGGTCTGGGGTAACCTGGAGAATCAGTTAAAAAATATATTCTCTCACCTTCTCTTTAACTAAGGAGTTCTGGTGGCGTAGTGCCCAAGACATCTGACTGCTAACCAGAAGGCTGTCAGTTCAAACCCGCCAGCCACTCTGCGGAAAGAAGACTGGGCAATCTACTTCCGTAAAGATTTACTGCCTTGGAAACTCAATGGGGGTCGCTATGAGTCAGAATCTCCTTGATGGCAGTGAGTTTGGTGTTTTTGTGGGTTTGGTTTAACTACATAAACCTGCCTGCTACCTATTTCAAGCCTATTCAGCTGTACTCTTCTTTAAATGAATAAATCCTTGAAACTGTGCCAGCCTGGGATCATCTGCCAAAGTGCTGGTAATTCTATTACATAAGGGAGAGTCTCAAGCTTCTTGGCAGCTGACTCTTGCCAAGGTTTACAGATGTGCATTTCTCTGCCTCTCCCTCCAGATAACTAGATGATCTTTCACAATTGATTCTTCTGGGTGGTCACTTTGTTGATCTTCCCACCAAACCCCCTTCCTTACAAGAGATTATCTTGAGAGTCATGGCCACTGAAAAGCCTATTTCAGATTTCATTTTGACATGTCTCTCAAATTCGCCAGATGAAATCATTTCTTATATGTTCGTGGAGTCTAATAGTCTTGAGACTGTGGCAGCAGTTTGGAGAAGGACAGGAAGATAGGAGAGAGATGTCAGTCATCTGGAGAGAATCAGGGCACATGACTAGAGAAATCAAGTGTCACCTGCACTAGTCCTTGGTTAGGAGACAATGCTGTTACAGTATGTGAACACATGGGTGTGTTCTATAAATGCAAGGGCCTGGAAAGAAAAGCACTTTCCTGAAAGGAAGCCCCCTGTACTTCTGAATCATTATTAGTCTTTCATCTTCACACCCCAGATCTGTTTTCACAGCCATCTCGAGATTTTGGACCCCATAAAAAGCACAATTAATTAATTCCCTTGAAGATTCACTGAAAACAAAGTACCTGAATTGGCCAGAGAATGATATTCATGTCCCCATGGACACCCTGCAGAGAGTACATGGAGCCACTGCCACCAGTGGTAATGGAAAGCACTGCCTTCTTCTTCTGTAAAAGAAAAAAAAAACAAAAAAACTTCATTACCCTCCACATCTCCTTGGGAACAGGAAGCTAATCAAACAACTCCAGGGAAAAGAACACAAAAGTCTACTCTATTTGCTGTTTATATTATTACATACTCTGTCTCCTGTGAGCCACCCAGAATGACTATGCAGAAATACCAGCCTGGAAGGTGGCACAGGGCCAGATAGTCGGGGGCAAGCCTGAAGATCCCATACTCCTGGGTGTGGCACAATGGACATGATAATGTGAAATCACTGTTGCCTGCTGGCTGCCTTGGTAGAATCATTTGCTGTTTTTACCTGTATCTCTCCCCAGCGCTAGGCATACAGTAGAAGGTCTCTAAGTCTTAAAGTGTTTCTTGTGCACTATTTGGGTCTCAAAAAATTAAGACTTTTATTATTATGGAAAATTCAAATTTACATTAAGAAAATAGTATAATGATGCATCTATCACCCAGCTTCCACTCTCAGTATTCTGCCATTCTAGATTTATCTATTCCTTCATTTTCTGAAGTATTTTAAAGCAAATCCCAAACATGTCATGTCAGCTATAAAATCTTGGTGATGCATCTCTTCCGAAAGACCTGGATCCTAATTTTAGTATCTGATTGTGCTCAAAACTTGCCTCGGGGCAGAGTCCACCCAGAATCCAGCTGTTAGAAAAATCAGAACCATCCACCTACCCGGAAAGGTCCCTTGTCATACATGGCCGCATATGTGTAAGCAAACTCTCCTATGAGCACTCGCTCAAACCAGCCTTTCAGAATGGCGGGGACTCCAAACCACTGCAGTGGGAACTGTCGGACAGAAGACACCGAAAGGTCAGGTCAGGGACACCTCCAGCCCAGCAGGCTCAGGGTCCTTAGCTGCGTCATGTCACTAGAGGAAGGAACCTTTCACCAGGCCTTTGTCACTCCTTCTAGCAGTGCTAACACACACACAAAAGTATTATTCTTGGTCAGTCAACTTGACACTTCTGCTTCTACCTAAAGATGCAAATATTGGGTAGGCCTGAAAAAACCCATATGCAAGTAAGATTCATTTATACGAAATCACATTTGGCTCAAAGTTTACATAAAAGGATTGCAGAGAAGGTTTGCTTCAATGTATGAATGCTTAGATCAATATTTGCTCAAGAGCTTGCTTTAGTAGGTGTGGTATAAAAAATATGAAATGTACCTTATGCTCACAAATATAAAATCCTATCATTTATAGCAAACAAAACCATTCAGAAATGCAAACAAATGATCAGTGACTAGTGTTATTAGGGAATTACCATGAAAAAGTCTTTTTTGGCCTCTTATCCTGATACAAACAAAGACTATAAGGACTAAACCAATACTTCTTTTCCTTAATTCATGATTTAAAGATAATAGGAACATGGCTAGAAGAAAAAGAACTTAGAACAAAGAAGGACTTTGCAGGCTTAATAGCTTTGTCTAATATTTGACGGACAAAAAAGGGCAAGGGGGGGTAGGGTTTTATAACACAAAGAACACAGGCCTGTGAGAGAAATGTGCATTCTTATCCTGAATCTGCCACTAACTTTTTAACATGAGCCTTTTTTGGCGTAAGTCCTGTAACTCCTCTAAGTTTCTTTTGCCTCATCTGTAAAGACACAAGCCTGCATGACTGCTAGCAGCATCTCACATCCTTACATCTGTGCCTCCAGTTGCAAGGGGCAGATGTGCAGCTTTCAGGATCAGTGTGTAGGCTGTTCAGGGAACTAGATGTGGTCCCCTGTGAATATTCTACATTCAGAACTGAAAATGGAATTGGTTGGCTTGGGGTTACTAAAAGTTCCTTCTCCCTGAAGTTGTTTTTAGAGGAGAAAAGCCAGGTTCTAGTCTAGGTGGCACCTTGGTTTGAGGTAGGGCACTCTTTAAGGATGAGAAGCTCTGGGGGTGCAGTGGTTAAAGCGTCTTGCTGCTAACTAAAAGGTGGGTGGTTTGAAATCACCAGCTGCTCCTCCGGAGAAAGATGAGACAGGCAGTGTGCTGTTTGAACCACCAGCCTTGTGGTTAGCAGTCAAGTGCCTTAGGCACTACGGTACAACAGAGCTCCTTAACATCCATTACCATACCTGAAATATCACAAGGTCTGCAGCCTCCAGTTTCTTTTGTTCAGCTACAATATCTGGGGTCAGACAGCCTTCTTTATAAGCTAACGCAGACTCAACAGGATACTTAAAGTTCTCCGGGTCCTTTAGTTTACCTGCAGAGGAAGAAAAAGACACTGGGGCCGGGGGGCTGAGGCTGGGCCAGAGAACCACAGCCAAAGAGTCTTATTACAAAACTCTAAAGGGAAGAGCTGGTCTCACCTGTGACATCGTTTTTAGAAATAACGGGGTTGAACTTCATGGCGTAGAGGTCCGACTCAGCAACCTCCCATCCCTTCCTCTGCAAAGCCTCTACAGCAGCCTCCTTCATGGCATAGTTGAAGGACGTCCTCTCCGAGTGAGCCAGTACGATCAATGCTTTTCTGACTATTTAGACACACAAGGCAGAGGAGGAAAATCAGCAAAGCTTTGGCCACGGGGCAGTGAGGGTCCACAACAGAAGAGGTGATGTGGTTGGATGTTAGTAATGCAGTCCATCCCCTGCAGAGAGAAATCTCTCTTCTGATAAGTACCAACAAAGTAAAGGAGGCATTCTGACTGAGTTGGGTAAACAGTGGTTAATAAATGGTGTTGGCCTACTTAGCCATCTGTGGGAAAATAAAATTATGCCCCTAGAACTAGACTAATATAGATGTTTGAAGTCAGTATAGTGGTCACCTTTGTCAGGGGGAAGTGAATGGAAGGGCACAAAAGAGGCCTTTTTGGGGTACGGGCAATGTTCTATTTCTTCCTCTGGGTGCTGTTCACAAAGGTGTTTGTTCAGCTGGTGCCAGTTCAAACAATGCTATGCTTTAGAACTTATGCACTTTTCTGTGTATCTATTATTTGTTGTTGTTGTTGTTA